CATCGGCGGCACGGATCCAGGTGGGCACCCGGCATCGGAGTTGTCGGTGCTGCCGCGAGCGTCCCATCCGCCGACAGAGACGTCGCGCCAGGCGGCGGAGTCGACGTCGAGGCCGCCGCCCATGTCGTCGTACTGCCAGTCGTTCTCACGCGCCCGCTCGATGAAGAAGTACGGGCGGAGGGCGCTGGCGGCGAGGAGGGGGAGGTACATGATGAGGTCGACGAGAGAGACGCGGTCCCCGCCGGCGCCGCCCAGGACGATCTCGGAGCCGTCGACGCGGGCCTGCTCCGCCTCGAGCGTCTCTACAGCGGCCAGGTAGGCGTCCTCGTTGTAGGTGAGATCGAGCGCGGCGTTGTAGGGGTCGTCGTACGGCGGGCCCCGCTCCTCGCCAACCCTCCAAGCATACTTGTTGCGGAGCTTGTAGACGCAGCGCAGGCCGGTGGCGTTGTCGGAGGAGAGGAGAAGCGGGCGGCCGCGCTCTGCCGCGTCCATCTCCGCCTCATCGCGGCTCGTGGCGGGCGAGCTGAGGCTTGGGGCCGAGACGGTGCGCGACGCGAGGTTGACCGCCCGCGTGTCGGCGGTGGCGTGTGCTGCCGCCTCCAGCCCGGCGGCGAGCCAGACGGCTTGAGGCAGGCTGGCACAGCCGACGCTCGTCATCTTGCCCCCGGAGCTTATCTGCACAAAGAAGCGTCCTCCGATCTCCATCACCCAGCGGAAGCCCGTCTTGCTCTCGGCCCGCACAGGGGTGCGGCCGCCTCCCTCAACCCACTGCTTGATGCGCTCCCTGTCCTCCTCGGTGTACACCTCCCACACGATCTCGGGCTCGTCTGGAGGCGGGTCGTCGGGAAGCGGACGAGGTGGCGCGTCGCCGCTCCCGCTGGCCCGCGCAAGCGGCTGGTGCCGCGCGCGCTGGTCGTCTCCGTTCGGTGGTTGCATGAGGAGGTTCAGGACCGCTGCCCTCTTTGCCGAAGGCTCCGGGTCAAATCGCGCTGCAGCGACGCCCGCGTTGGGGCGCTTTGCTCGCGTGGACATATCAAGCGAGGCTGGGGAGAGCGCTTGGAGAGCGCGCCAACTCGTTCCGCCGTTTCTTTTTTCGGCTGTATGGGGCGTGGACACTGATCAGCCAAGCACTACCGCCTCCAACGACCTGGATGGCGAGGGGGTATGTAGCTACATGGCCGCCATCGGCTCGGACGACGACTCCTCGCCGCCGCTCGGCACGGCTACCTGGCGGGTGTTCTGCGACGGCTCCTGGACGGAGAACGATCTGACACTGGCCGTTCTCTCCCCGTCCGCTCCGCACGCACCGCCCGCACCGCCCGCACCGCCCGCACCGCCGCCGTGGCCACCGGGGCGCGCCCCGCTGCCGCCGCCCCCCGAGCTGCCCCCCGAGCTGCCCCCGCCGCTGCCACCGGCCGATTGCGATGCAGAGGACGAGAAGTGGGTCCCTTTAAGCTTGGTCGCCACTCTTATGGCCACCGTCCTTGGACTTTTGGCCTTACTCTTGCCCACGGCATCGCAGCCCAAGCGCTTCCTCGCGCTCTATCTGCTCACTCTTGCCCTCGGCAGCTTCGCCATCCTCGTCGCCTCCCCGGCGGGGACGACTCGCACCTGCCGCTGCCTCTCGCGCAGCCGCTCGAGCAGCGCCTCGTCGGCGGAGGCGGCGGCCGCGGCGAGCGCGGCGGGGGAGCACTACGTTGTCTGACGAGCAGTTGGCACCAGCACCTCGTCGTCAACATGCGCGCTCATCGCGCGGGCCCCGCCCATGAGCACGGAGAAGAGGAGACAGTGAAGCAACATTAGTCCGACGGCTCCACGCCACCGCGGACTGAATTTCGGCGCTTCACACGACGGGCGCAGCAATTCTTTTTCTCGATGCGCCGCCATCACCGATCCCATGACTCCCGGATTCCCCAGCCTGGTGTCGATCTGTCCATCTGTTACAAGAACGCGCTATAGAGTGGTGGTGGGGGGCGTGCAGTGTGGGACGCACCCTCTAACATGCATGTATCAGTCCTCACCACCCTCAGACCGTGTGGCGATGTGTGTGACTCTATCCATCCTTTCATATATGGACCATCATGACCCAGGGATGTGTGTACAAGCCATTGTACGCACAAGAGAGAGAGAGCGATCCTGTACCGTGTTTGTTATGACCCCCCCCGATGAACACACCAGTGAGGGAGGGCGAGACGATCGAGGGGTCCCGTACCATGCGGAATCGACCCTATCCAGTGCTCAAGTGCTCAAGAGAGAGCGTACGCACAACAGACAGTTGGCATTGCATCGTCAACAAACAAACTACCACTCTACCACTCTACAACTACTCGCACACCCAAACCTTTTCCCTCGCAACGCCTGACGACACTCGACACCAAGCGCGACGGCGCGGCGCACTCGCACCATCACACGAACCGGCACCAGCTCCAGCACCGGCACCGATGACACCATCCGACCTCGTGCGCCGGTGGGCAGACTGCTCGCCTTCGAAGCGGCCACCTTGGAGGCGGAGCCTCGCCTCGGAGCCGAGACAGCAGCTGCCCGAATCACACGTGAACTGAGAGTTTGTCGCGGCGGTCGTTTTCTCTACTTCTTCCGCTCGCCTCGCCCGACGGACGAACGTTTGTCGTCGGCTGCAAAACACAATGGA